TACCTCCCGCCCGCGCCACGCAAAACCGCCCGCCGCGAGCGATGAATTGGGGTCACGCCGCGCGGTGCTGCGGGGAGGGAGCTAAGCTTCGCTTTGGGCAGGCTTATTAGGAGCCGTGTCGGGCGATGTGGCTCGGTGAGCCCGCGCTTTTTGCGCGGGTGCCGGCTGCACCCCGCCCGGTGCTCCGCACCCCGCTCCCGTACCCGCCTCCCGCGTACCGCGCCTCCGCGTTCCGCCTCCCCGTATCCCGCCTCCCGCGTTCCTTCCCGCTCCCCGTTCCGCCTCCCGGTTCCGTGCCTCCCGCGTTCGCGCGCGGCGGCTCCCCGTTCCCGCTCGCCCGTTCCGGCCTCCCCTGTTCCGGGAGCTCCCGCGTTCCCTGCCTCCCGCGTTCGGCGCCTCCCCGTCCGCCTACCCGTTCCCAGAGGCCTATCCGTCTCAGCGGTACCCGTACCCGCTCCCCCGTACCTACGCCTCCCGTACCGCGCCTCCCGGTACCCGCCTCCGCTGGGTACCCGCCTCAGTCGTACCCGCCTCCGTATCCCGCCGCTCGCCCGTACCCGGCTCCGTACACCGCTCCCCGTACCCGCCTCCCCGTACCGCGCCTCAGTTCCGTACCGCGCGCCTCCCGGCGTACCGCGCTCCCGCGACGCCTGCACAGCCCTACCGTCGCTCCGCGTACCCGCTCTGCCCGTACCGCTCCCCGTACGCACGCGCTCCCCAGTACCCGCCTCCCCGGCTCCCGCCTCCTCCGCTCCCGCTCCCCTCCCCGCCTCCCGCTCCCGCTCTCCCGCGCTCACCGCCTCCGCCGCTCCGCGCCTGCGCCCGCTCGCGCCTCCCGGCGTCAGCTGTGGCTCCGCCGCTCCGCCTCGGCGGGGGTGGGCACGCACGCGACCCAGAGAGCGACCGCGCCCTCGGCCCACGCCCTCCCATCGGCGCGTAGCACTCTCGCCAACGCCAACGCCTTTCGCACTGCCTATCTTATAATAATCGGATTGCACCTCAAAAAGATTTCCAGGTTGTGATCTACACCAGAAGCGCACGTAAATTGTAACTTAGATAACAACAAAAACGCCAGTAGAAATACACATTTTGTTAAATCGATTTACTTGTAGTCATGCGTGAAGTACGAGTTAGGAAGTATTTGTTTGAAGGCTACGTAATTAAATAATCTACGTTGAATTCTCATTACGTTTCACGAAGGAGGTCCAGAAGCCCACCACAGACTTTTTGTGGTTGTGTGTGTGTGTGTGTGTGTGTGTTAGTTATACAAAGTTATTTCAGTTGCTTGGGGAAATGAACTATGCTATGTATTGGAGACGGGTCGTAATTATTGTTTGAAATAAGGGGCCTTATTGAATCTACTGCCTCAGGCCTCTTGTTTTCTCTGGGCGACCCTGTTTTTCAAACGTGAATGGTAATATAGAAGCTAAATTGTTAACATTAATATTGATTTCACTCGTGTGACAAATAACGTTGTCCGAGTCGATGTTAGTGCAAATGTTTGGTTTTTGCACTTTACGAAACCTAATGTTGGCAGGTTTTTGTTTCTAATATATTCTATATGGTTAGTAAGTCAATTTGTCGACAGATATTATCTCTAGATATAATAACTTTTTAGTGCGTTTTTCTATCTAAACTGATAATTTTACATTTATTTATATTTAATTAAACACCTTTCTATTTGCACTTTTGATGTGGTTTATTTAAATCGTTCTGAGGTTAATTACAATTTCGTTATTCGGCGATGGAATTTACAATTGTCTGAGAAAAGCAAGAATGAGCTATTTGAGAAGTTGAATTTAACGTCATTAATGAAAATAATAAACAGAGATCCGATGTTTGAACCTTGAGGTACACCATGTTACGCCATATCTTAGGCGGAGATTACCATTACACAGACAAAAACATAAACAAATGGACATAAGCCGTAGGAATGCTGTCAGAAAATGAAAGAATTGCGAGTGTGAAGGCAAATTAACATAACTTTGAGTTAAATTCATTTGAATGGACATTCCATGAGACCGGAAACCCAAAACTTGCCTCAACGTCAGCCAATTGCACACCCATCATTTTCAGTAAAGTACAAATAAGTACTTTATTAGCAATTGAATTATTACAGTATAGTATTACTAACAATTGCAGTAATTGTATGCAAAATACGTGGATTGGAAAATTAATGAATACATTTTTTCTTTGATTACGATTGATTTGTTATAATTAGAGCCTGGATTTGTATGCAAATGGATATTATTAGCTAATTGAGACCGGAAAATGATCGCACATCTTTACAAATCTGCCCATTTAGAGCATTCCTGGCGAATTTTATTTTGCATGCTTTGTGCTTGGGGCCACACAATCTGACCCTGATGAAAGTATTTAAGCTTGCTGGTGGATAAATCTTTCTCCCCCGCTGAATGGTGAGATCAGTCACCGACCTACCTGTCACCTCCTGGAGGATTTCCTCCTCTACGTATCTCCCCCCAGCGGGGCACCGGCTAAGCTGGGACACGCTCGAAGCTCCCGATACATACGGTAACGAGACGCATGTTAGTACGTAAGCTGTGTGTTTAAGGGGTGAGGAAGGGGATAAGGAAGTAGAAGATAAGATCGCGCACGGTCCGTGGCCCGATTATTAAGGTACTGCTTCAGCATTCGTCTGTTATTGACCGAAAAAACCTCGCAAAACAACCAAACAGAGGAGCCGGTCGCAACAATTCTCCCCCAGAGAACGGCTGAACTCCACCCATAAAGCTAGCCATAACGTTAGTCTCGAAAATTACATTTCCGTCGGTACTCTACCATGTCTTTGAGATGGTTGGAGGTTTAGGCCCAACACGATTCTGCTGTCCTCAATGGGCAGCCTACGGTTTGTCATCACCAGTGCTTTCATACTGTGGCGCCGCGGCGCATCGGGGTGGCAGATTTTGAGTTATGCAGTACACACAGCAGTTTGAGTTATGCATCATTTTCTCGAAAATTATTTGTAGTGAATACAAGAAAACTGCAACGTGATTATGACTCGCAAGAATAATCAAATAAAACACACGCTTATTACAAGTAACTAAATTTTTAAAGAGAAAATTTATGATTGTGGAGCAAATATTTTACAACTGGCACAAACCGCCCTTAAACCACATTTTTAGTTTCCAAATTAAATTGTTAAAAATATTGTATAGTGCTTACATAAAAAAAAGGCATTCGACCAAAATCCTACAGAAAGAATTTCTAACAAAACAACTTTCCTTCAATGAGTACAATTTAGTTTCATCCCATTACTTTTGATACCACAATGTTTATATCAGCATTGGTCTAAAATTACTTTTCTTTTGAAATATGATTTTAACATCATTTTCTTCGTACATTTTTTCAAATGTTATGTTTAATGTTTTCAATGTTCGCAAATACACCTAAGCCTGAAGCCAATGATACATATAAAAAAAATGTAAGTTTTACTAATTTTGCATACCAAAGAAATAAATTTAATATATCAATTGCTTACAATATAAATATTAATTCAAATAAAAACACAATGTTGGTTGGACTCTATACCTTTAGCCCCCTCCTCCCACAGAGAAAAATCTTGTGTGAGCCTCTATTTAATATCATCTTCAACAGATTTCTTGCTTAGTTTCCCCACCATCATAAAAGCGTTAAGAATAAGATAAGAATTTCAGAAATATACTGTACTGATGGTTGTACAATGACAAGATATCAAGAGAAACGTTTTAACATATCTTTCAAGAGTAACTTTAGTAGAAATGGTGCAACAAAAACATATCCTCACTCAGTTAAAAGAATATTGTATATGGATACCATATAGCATTTGATTTCTAAGAATTAAGCAACTGTCTAAACAGAATATTTATCATAAACTTTATAAAATCTTTCAAAACAACTATTCAAGCTAAAATTCAAATGACAAAATAAAAAAACAAACATTATTAATAATGAAATTTGTGTTTCAAATGTTAAGTCAGAATTGTAAACAACAAAGTATTATTATCCATTTGCCAATAGGAATTTTTGTATTCATATTTGGTTTGGCAATTTATTCATTTTCACATGCCTGCATATTGTTGATTGTCTTTTTAATACACAAACCTCCACCCAAATTTTGTATATGTCAGTACTCACATGCTGTAAGGCAGATTGGAAGAACGAGGCGAAGCAGAAGAATACCCAACGCTGTAGTTGCCATGCTTGGTTAATATTTCCACAGTGTCGCTAAAAAGAATCGAAACAACGAATTAAGGAGGGTACAGTATTTTTAGACTAACAGACAAATTTCAGAGACCGTTTCTAAATTAGTACTTCTAAATTAACATTTTATTAGTACTTTTGTCAATTACTTGAATATCCACAATATTACAATTCTACATGAAAATCTGTGCTTTTTGTGAAGTTAATTTTCCTCCTTAATACTGTATGGTTAATAGAATCACAGATTACAAGAGGATTTGAAAGTCATGGAAGTTGTACCATTTGAGACATCACTAAAGATCTGCTAAGAGACACCCATTTCATAAAAGGTAAATAAAGTTGTGATGATATTAGTGTTTAAGGATAATTAATTTTAAGCATTAAGTTGCCTCTAGTTAAAATAAATACGCACCCCTCAATTTGTGCTCAGTTAAAAAATAACTATGTAATTATTACACATGAAAACATCAATCTGGAAAAAATAGACTATTACCTGCACAACAGAAATAAATTTTCATCAAATGATTTAAATGCTTGAACAAATTCTAATTCAACAATACTAAATATTAATTTATTCACATGGGAAAAACCGACAATTTTTAAAATAAAGAAAGTCTGAACAATGTTTACTGATTGTAAAACAAGGTAAGCCAAACCCAGCCTACTGATATATCACAAATATTTATTTTACTTGAATGAATACTCACTTGTGATTTACATAGTGAATGACGCTATGCTCACGTAAAATGTATCTGCTCTCACAGACAAAATATTGGGATCCTCCGTAACAAATTATAAAATGTGATGGGCCCTTAAAATTTCGTTTTCCCTCCATGATTTATTGATGTGGCAAATTATCACGTTTCTCATTATTTGCGAGTTTTGTGCCCAAAATAAGCAGACCCGTCACCTGTCGCACTGATCTGTTGTGGTGCATTTGCAATAGAGGCAAACGAAATCGAAGGAAACCTAATTAAGAAAATACTACAGAAACAGTGAGAGCCAATTATTCGTAGCGGCGCGTTCATTCACTAGGTAGCACGTGCGACAGTCAACACCCCACCCCCCTCTCCACGCACGAGCGTGAGGGTCGGTGCGGGCCGGTGCCTCTCGCCTGGCGAGGGCGGGGCAGGCTAGGCTGAACCGCGCTCGCTCGCGCCCACTCACCTGTCACCCACGCCTTCGGGTCGGGCTCTGCCCCCCTAGCCTGTCTGCACTACCCGCCGTCCGGCGCCCGGCAGCTGCTGCCTAGGCACTCGCGAGGGCGCATGTGTGTCGCCCGGCCGTCCGCTGCACGGCACGCCGTTCCACGCACCAACACTCGCCTGTCACTGACGAACGCTCCACCGACAACCCACACTCCGACGCAACGCACGACACTGCTCTGACACTGCCGGTCGGTTACTTGCCACTGCAACCGCAACGCTGCGCTGCGGCGCGCTGCGGTGTCGGCGACCTCTTCCCTCCGCACGACGCATGCACGGTATCGATCGATCTCGGCGAGGGAAACGTCGATTGTACGTTATTAGTTAGTGCAGGAGCTCATAGATGGCATCTTTCCGAAATCACACCCTCCCCACGTACTCTTGGATGATCGTTACGACTATATACAACGATTTACAGTTACACTCGTTGACTATAAACGATCGCCAGTACTGTTTGATACGGTCGCGACCGTGCGACATCTAGCGGTGTGACCGAGAAAGACGCAAAATACCGTGAGATATTCCATTATGAAGACAAGGCCAAGAAATAATAACCCAAGTATAAGGTGATTATTTACTTCAATTATTTATCCCGCGGAGCAAGTTAAGATTGTATAATGTTTGCCCTTGTATTTCTTTTCAATCAAAGCATGCTTCTCCTGGATTTTAGCAAGAAAGGTTTATACAGGAATATTGTTAATTGTATTGCATATTAATGGAAATGTTATATATTTTTTAGGTCATAAGTGCATATTTTTTAAAACATATTCCAAGATTTTTAGGGCGTGTAAATCCGCTGCTTAATCATTACCATGAAGATCGAAACTAACAAGAAAAATACGAATCAATACCAATAGAAATCAACATTTAATTACCATTTTCACAGGATACAGAGAAAATATATCAGGACACGACACGGTGTAAGAGAATTTTCTTACACCGTGTTGCGTTGAGAATTCTCCCTCACCGCAGTTGTCATAGTGCACGGTATTGTTGAGGAACGCGCCGATTATTGGATCCCACTTCTCTCTGAAACTAGTGATGCAAAACAGCACCTAGTTTCTCGTCACTAGTAACGATTATTTAATATTATTATACCCCACTTTCTTTCTATATCAATACATCTCAGTTAATGTGCGCTGCTAACAATGCTTGCATGCAGAAATGAGTGCTGCCAACAATGAGCACATATTTACTTATCAAGTCTTGCTAAAAACGCCATTTTTGACATAAGTAGAATTATTATTCAGTTTGCATTACTGTGGTCTTATGAAAGTTCTTATAAGGCGTTCTTTATGGAACACTATTGCTTGTTTCAAATATATAAAATTGTTTTTAGCCGCATCTCTAAAATTTTCTAATTTCATCCTTAAACGTTTCATTTTCTTTTAAATGAATACTTTTTCCATTTTTGATACCAACTGGCTTTCAAAAAGTGTTCTAACTTCGTACGTTAGTATTTGAAAACGTTAAAATATTATGTAGTAAATCAACAAATACTATTATAAACGAGCTTTTTTTTATTTCCAGCACATTATACAGACAAGAAGGGATATTTTCCCAAATAAACTGTATATATATATATATATATATATATATATATATCCCATTACCGCAAGAACGCTTAGAAACTGCTGGCCAGTTGTTGGTGGCTTCCGCAAGGCACGAAGGGACTTCCATCCAGAACGGCCAATGTTACATAAAGAAGTCATCAAACGTTCGTTTTGAATCAACAAACCTAATATCAAATAAAAGCAAATTCTCCAAGCATCATAAACAATGCATTGAATACCGTCAATAATTAACTGAACTTGTTTACTTTCAATAAAACGCGAAATTTTCCAAATTAAGTTGCCGCTAGTCAGACGATGGTAGAATATTGGTATTTCCTTCGGACTGCTCGGTCGCCGCGCAGCACTCCACAGGACTTGGAAAATAGACCCCCCAATTGGGTTGCCAATAGACCACCCATTTGGTTGCGTCACTAAACGCCGTATCTTCTCCTGTGTAAAAAAAGGGCCAAAAAGAAAATGCAGTAAACCCAGTAATATAGCCAAGAGAGTGGTGCAATACCTGGCAGTGTACAGATGCCGGAGAGAGAGCCAGTTGGACTCTCTTTGGTTTCAAAACGATTTTCTATAATCGACATTGCAGCAATAATTTGAATATTGCACGTCATTAAAAGGAAAATATATATTCCTAAGATATTATATCTTTTTCAATAACTTGGGGGTTGCACAACACCCGTAAAATAGAAAAATATGTTATATGTTTGGAATACAGATTTTGGTTTCAATGACATTCAATATTCAAGATATCGCAGCAATATCGATGCAGCAAACGATATCGCAGCAGTATCGTTTTGAAATCAATGAGAGCATAACTGGCGCTCTCCGGCGTTCAGTTTTTAGTAAAACCTCTGAAATTTCGAAAATTGCATTTCGGGGTGACTTCCTAAATGTAAGAAATATAACTACCTGTAACCACAGTACAGAAAATAATTTTTAAAGAAACCAGTTCTGCGTGGTTCAGGCAATAAGCCCATTTAGCGACTCGCGGTAAGTGTGGCCATCGAAAGCGGCCACCCTCCAAGCATTTTGCTCCTCCTTGCCGGCTTGGTATTACAATCGACAGGGAAGAGTGCTTTTAATTAGTAGTGACACAAAATCAGTCATCTTAAGTTGTGTTCCAAGACTCAAACGATTTCATCCAACATATGACATTGACATGAGGAAACTGAAGCAGTGGAACAACCGAGATGATTTGGTGGATCCCTGAGTACTGATATTTAATATTTCAAAGTAGTTGAAAGTACGTCATCTGTTTAAACTTAATGAACCACGTTAGTATTGAATTTTTTTCTTAGAGCGAATTGTGTTGCATTTTATTCCCGATCGCCATGACTTTTATTTAATAAATGCATTATGGCGCCACTCTCGTTCCGCCATAAAATTTATTTAAAAAATCGTGAGGGGGGGTGCTAGTCACTTTCCTGTCCAAAATTTCAAGTCCAAAATTTGATTTTCGATATCCGGCGTTTTGCGACTTGCAAAACTTTGGTGTAAGTCATTACATTTTTCGAGAAAGTGATGGTGCCAACTTCACTCCCCTCTGAGCTGCTAGTCTGCGACCGATGTGCATGTGGAATATCTTTATTACAATATCTACCAGAGATTCAAATGAAATTTTCGAAATGAAATACTTTTGTGCAAAAGTGTCCAAGCAAAAGTAGGTTTGTTCCAGCAGCAGTCCCAAACAGTCCCGAACTAGTCCGCGCATGGGCAGCCTCGTATTGGGCGTTCTAGCAGCAGCAGTCAGGGATTGTGACTGGGAGTTGGGCGTTCCAGCAGGGTTGCTGATTAGTTTGAAACCAGTCCGAAACAGTTCGTGCACTCTCCCTCAAACTAGAAATCCGCGCATGCGTGCTTCGGTTCCCGAGTTCCCGCCAACGCCAAACTTCGACGACGCGCCATTTACGTTTCCATCAGGTTTCTGCATAGTTGTTTTACATTCTGCTCTATTTATTTTGACCCTGATTTGTTTTACATTTCTGGTGATACATTCTTGGTTTTTGGTGATTTCGCTTTCTTTCGGATTTTTCTCGTGGATATTGGAATTTGACCCTGCTTGATTTTACGTTTTGTTGATTTTCTAGTTTTTTTCAAGTATTACTAATCTCGTGCTTCTTCAAAGTTTGATTTTATTTATTTATAGTTAAAACGATGGGAAGGGATTCTGGAACTCAAGAAAACATGCGCAGATCATCTTCTCCCCCATACGTCACATATACATTTTTTTTACCTTTTTGTATTTTTTTTTATTTTTACTAAATTTATCTAAATCTAGATTCTCGGATTTTGGTGAGTTAGCTATCTTTCGGATCTTCTTGTGGATATTGGAACTTGATATGTTTCTTTTTTTGGGAAATGGAAGGTAAGTAATTTTAAGGAAGTTCCTTGTACCGTGACTTACTAAATATGTATGTACTTATTTACCGTTCTGTATTGTTAGCGTTCTCTCTCATTTTTAAGAATAATACAAATAACCGAAATCCAAAAGAATAATCAAAAACAATATACCCAAGTCACATTTTACCAGGTTCAAAATCTGTAATTGATAGCAAGGTCAAGAAAATGAGCGAGCAATTATGGAGAAACGTAAAGTGCAAGTGAATACCACAGGAATACCAGGAATAACCAGGGTCAGGTCGCTTTGATTTTTACATGCGTTACGAAAATTATATCTGGCGGAGAATTCTGCAACTACCGATGAAACAAAAGCAGCGGCACCTATAGACTGATTTTTTTACCTACTTGTTCCAGCAGTTCCCAATCCGGGACTAGTTTGACTAGTTTGCACTCGCGCATGTGCAGAGTGAGAGTACGAAAAAGTGTCTGTGATTGTTTGCTGGAACAAACCTACTAGGCTTGTTGCAAAGTACTGAAAGTACTGGAGAGCGATCACCGTATTTTCGATCTTTTTTGTTTTCTATGAATTCTTATCGTCTGTTGTCTCAATGCAGAACTAATTCAAACTAGTGGTGCAACAGAATGGCACAGACATTCTCGTATTCGTTTTGTATTATCTTTACCCTGGGCTAGCAATTCTCATTTGATGCATACTCTCGTCGGCTGCCATATATCGTCGCCTAAGGTACATATATTAACACTTTTCTCAATTTTCGAATAATTGAACTGAAATGTTACTTTAAGAAAGATTAAAACATCGCCCTACGTAACAATTTTCAAAGAAAAATTTGGAGCCGTTTCTAAGAAAATGACGTGTAAGCGTTACTGTAAATGCATTTGAAGCTCTTTTCAACAAATTGATTGAGTTTTCGATAAACTTCATTTTAAGTCGTTTGAAGCACTTCCACTCAAGCGCAATAATGTATACAAATAGCTGGAAATGTACATATTAACAATATGAGTTTTTTTTAAATTACACTTGTGTATATTGTGAAAAAACAAAATTCAGCAAAATTAATTTGATTTCATTTAAAACAGTGCAATTAGTATTAGTCGTCCGAAAAGTTTGGAGAAAAGATTTTGAGCCATTTTTTAAAGAAAATTACGTATAGGGGTTACTGAAGATACGGATATTTGAGCTTGTTTTCACAAAAAGTTTAGAGTTTTTGAAAAATTGTATAAGATATTTAAAGAATATCTACTCGCAA